TTTTTGATTTTGTATGCTGTTTGACGGGTCTTTGACCGTAATAAACTGATTGATTGATTGCTTTAAGTACTGGCCAGGGAAGGTAAAGAGTCAGAGAAAGAATGGTGAAAGAATATTCCCTTCCATGATACCTCACCAGTCGCTTGTCTATATTTCCTTAAGAGATGTTGACTATTGAGCATTTTGTCTTGAAATTAATATGATAGCCTGGCCACAGTTATGTGTTAATGTGTGACTTAAAGAACTATTATTTTCTTCACCCAGATTTTTGGGCTGAGAACATTTTTTAAAAGAGAAAAATCTGTATGCTTAACCAAGAGAAGAAAAAATTAAGAATGACTCTTGGAACTCATATGATTGTGTGAATGTTTTTGTTTTATCTTTGGTTAAATTACTTAGAAAAAAGCCAAGATTATAATAAGAGGAATCATGCACAGAAATTTTTTGCTCAGTGTTTTAGGATTTGCAATGATTTCTGGAACAAGTTTTCATAGGGAATTTGTGAAAAATGTATTAAACTTAGTGAAGTGCTGGGTTTGAAAAAAGGGGCAGATGGTGTGTTTATATTTAACAGGAAGGACTACAAGAAGATCTGGCTTATATAATAGAGGAACTTTTATATGGGTATAGTTGAATGAATTATGGATTTTGCATTAGGTTTATGGATTCAATTTATAATAGAAAAAACAATTAAATTGTATGGAAAAAGTAATGGGCTTGGATAACATTAATTTATATGTTTAGGGCAACTGGCTTCTTTTGTGGCGTTACTACATTAATTTTAATCAGAAATATAACAAACACTTTATTCACATCTGTTTATTTTCCTATTTCGGAATTCCCTCTTGATTCCACTGTAGGCAGAAAATAAATCCCTCTGGAATGATCCACTGTGAGCACTCTAGCTAATCTAAATTAAAATATTAATACTTATTTCTACAGGGAAGATGCATTTTAGACCAAGGGGAAAGTGAGGGTATTGTTTACTTTGTGTGCAGATACACCGATGGATAACAAGATCCCTGAGGTGAATGAAATGTATTTCCTTAACAAAAATCAGAAGTGTAAAGTGGATGCCAAAATCTCTCAGTAGGTTTCTACAGATGGAGGAAGGTTGCCAATCTGCAGGTGGTGGCTGGAGATCTCCTGGGATGACAACCGTTCTCCAGGCAACAGAGATCAGTTCCACCTGGAGAAAATGGCCGCTTTGGAGGGTGGCACTCTATGGCATTACACCCCACTGTAGTCCCTCACCTCACCTCCCCAAACCACACCCTCTTCAGGCTCCACACCCCAAATCTCCAAGTATCTCTCACCCCAGAGCTGGCAGCCATACAGCTGGAGTATATGACTAGGATCTTCAGTCTGACAGGTAACCTTTTGTCTGCTGACTTGCTCTTTGTCTTGTGAGGCTTCCCCTTACTTCCGTTATTAAGGGTCCCCAAAAAATCTTGTTAGTTGCAAAATTGCTTCCTACAAATATGCTGGAAAACTCAGAACAACTACAATCCAGGACAGAGTATAGTTAATTTGAAAACCTTCTTTGTGTCTGACACGGTGATGAAGAAATCCTACTTGACCGTCACCACTGTGTCAATGATGCGCTATACAGTAAAGCTCTTTGAGAGATAAAAGGCCTGTCATGGCTGGGCCGTAATTGTGATGGAATTGTGTTCCCAATGGCTTACTTCCACTCTGTCTTGGATGCCATTCTGCAGCTCCATGGAGAAGTTGCCCACAGACTCTGTTTGTTGCATTTGCTTGAGTGAGTTTCAGCTGAAGACACTAGAGGATGTTCTCAGAAAAGTACAACTGCTCACATGCGAATCCAAGCTCTGGCTGGTTCTTGCAAACCAGAAGAGGCTTTCCAGTTTAGTCCAGGTGTTGATAAATGTTTCTTTTCATTATAGATGGTAGGTTCTGCTCGTTTTAAGGAGGTCATTATGAAACTGCTGCTGGAAAAAAATATCTTTAGACTGCCACTGAGAAATTCCTGGAGATTTCATGCTGCAGCCTGGGGAGAGGAGGGTTTGGGGAGGGTGGGGTCAGGACCTCAACAGGGTATAATGCCACAGAGTCCACCCTCCAAAGCAGCCATTTCCTCCAGGGGGAACTGATCCATGTAATCAGGGGATCAGCTGTAATCTCAGAGGAGATCTCCAGGCTGCCTTAGGGTTGCCAAATCTAAATTGCCCGGGAGCGGGGGGCTCCCGGACGATGTCGGGGTTGTGCGCGCGCGCGCCGGGTGCACGTCACCCGGAAGTGACGTCACACTTTCCCCCTCAAATGGCGTGGCCCCGCCCCCAGCGTGCGACGTCACTTTCGGGTGACGTGTACGCAGGGGTGGGGTTTCCCCCGGGCCCCGATTCCAGCGCGCCGGAAATCGGGGCTCCGAAGCGGGGGATTCCCCGCCCCCCGGCTGCATTTGGCAGCCCTAGGCTGCCTTGAGGTTGGCAACCCTACTAAATTACCAGCCAGCTGGGCAAAGACCCTCAGTATGATGTACTCTGGGGATTTTTCTCAATGCAACATTATATTGACCCATATCTGTGTGGCTTCAGTCTTGGTACTAAAACTGCTTTGGCTTGTGGACTTAAATACTTGTACCCCAAGGGTATTCTCATGTAGCAGAGCAAGCTGAGGTAGCCTTTGATTGCCATAAGGCAATCAGACTTAGAGAGGTGGGGCAAAGCAACTTTGGCACTCCTAGAAAGCAAACAGAGTTATACAGCAGGAAGCATTTTGCACAATCCGACAGCCAGGCAGAGTTACAGAGCACACAGAGAGGGGTGTCTGGCAGGCAGTATTATACAATGGCCAGCAGCTTACTTCTGGCATCCCAAGAAGGCAAGGCAAGCAGCAGTACAACAGAGTGGACAGGCAGCAAGGACCACTTAGAACTCTGAGGAGGAAATGCAGAATCCTTGAGCGGGTACAGAGCCAGGTGTGATGGTTGCATGTCCTAGAAGACAAGCAACAAGGCATGGTAGGCAAAGCTGGCATTTTAGAGGTACCCATATATCTCAGGTTTGGCTTTTGCTAAAAAAGCAGGAATAATTCCATTTGTTGCTTATTCTGCACACACAAGACACACTGATTGAAAACACTGGAGTGAATGTGAATGCTTGGTGAAAAGAACTTGTCGTGTGAATCAATTGTGCTTTGCAATCAGTAACACAGTCACATATAGAGACACAAAGAATGCCTCCACTGGCACTTCAGATGCTCTTTCGGATGTGTCCAAGGCAGGTCTTCGGGTGCTGGCTTCAATGTTGCCTCTTATTTCTAATTTATTCATTTGCTGCCTTTTTATGCTGCCTTTCTTCAAGGAGCTCAGGACATTGTACATGGCTCTCTCCTCCTCCATTTTATCCTCAAAACAACCCTTTGAAGTAGGTTACATTGAACTCAGAAGTCCCTTGCCCTAGCCCAGGACTTCAGCTACTATCCCGCACTGATTCTCTTAGCTTCTTTGGAAAGAGTATTATTATTATTTATTATTATGTATTGAATTTCTGAATTGCCCAGTCCCTGAGTGCACAGGGTTCTGAGTGATTTACAACAGGTTAAAAACATACCAAAAAACACAGATTAAAATCCAAAGATCAATATTCCTACTTTGATAATCTCCAGATGGCATCCATAATTTAAAACTTACTCTGGACTGTTCTGTCTTGTGGGAAGGTTAAGGAGGAGGCCAAAGGGAGCAAGATGGAAGAAGCTTTGATAGAAAATCATTGCTGTCCTCAACCAAAAGCCTAGCAAGAACATCTCTGCCTTACAGGCCCTGTAGAATTTGATTAAGTCCTGCAGGGCCCTGATAGAAGTTGGCAGAAAGTTCCACCAGGTCGAATTCAGGGCCAAAAAGGCCCTGGCTCTGGTCGAGGACAGCCAAATATCCTTGGGGCCAGGGATCACCAGCAGATTGATCTCAACAGAGTGTGACACTCTCCCAGGGACGTACCAGAGGAGAGGGTCCCAGATATATGCAGGTCCCAAACTGCTCAAGGCCTTAAAGGTCAATACCAGCACCTTGAATCTGACTCGGTATTCCACTGGAAGCCAGTGTAGCAGGCACACCACAGGTTGTACACAAGGTGCTAAGAGAGACAAGGCAGGAGAAAGAGTCTCTTTACATCCACTTGTCAGTAGCCGTGCCAACTCTACTGCCAGCCTGACACAAGCAGTGGCAGCAACCTCACTCTCTGCTTTTAAAACATTCATGGGGCTGAACATGAGCTGGGAAATTTTTTGGAGTATCTCCCGCCTTAGGAGAGCTAAAGGAGTATCTCCTTAAGCCATACTCAGCCTGAGGATTATTTTTCAAAGAGTCAGCTTGTTGTTTGGAAATTTCCATTGGGTTGAGGTTGTCCTGCAGCAAGAGGAGAGGCACAACAGAAACCCCTTCAATGCAACATTTTCTTGCAAGGTCCCGACAGATGTGATGAGTAAATGACACATCCTTCCAGGATATGTGAAATGAGCATTGAGTATTCCTTTTTAATGACCATTTATTGTTAAATCCAATCAGGGGTCATTTCGTAGAAAAAGAGGTGCAGGAGCTCATTAGCATAACTTATTTGCATATGCCCCACTCCCTGACATCACTGGAAGTGTGTCAGAAGGCAACACCCACCACTCAGGCTCCACTGGACTGTTTTGAATTGCTAGCTATTGCGGGGTGTGTGTGTGCAGATCTGTCCTCGCAGAGGAGGGAGAGCTTGTACCTGAATAAAACTTGGTCTTAAAGGTCCCACTGGACTGTCTTGGACTGCAACTTACCTGCCTGCTTCTTCCTCTGACTGAGGGCTGCTGGGAGCAGAGGGTGGGGCTTGTTGCATGTGCCCGCCCCCTGGGCTCTTTACTGCCGGAGCTCCGCTCCTGTGCGCTCCCGCAGGAAATGACCCCTGAATCCAATAAATATTTTTAGGGACTGAAAATAATGCTATAGTTATCCAGGCCAAACTGGAAGGGCATTAATAACTTTGTATGTTACTTACAACTCCAATAGGAAAAGCTAAGACAGCCATCATCCAGTCACGGAGGGAAATTAGCTTTTTTAGTTGTCTTTCTTGTTCTTGGCTGTCATTTCCTTTGGTCAGAAGGCTGGAAAGGTCAGTCAGTACGCAGATCCCAAAAAAGACTGCTTGAATAACCTGCATTAGGGGGGGGAAAAGAATATCTTGAACACTATAGTAGTGTGTAAGTGAAATCTAAACAGCTGCACTAAGGAGATGACTAGATTTCCCAAGTTTCCATTTGGACTGTAAATTAAACAAACACAACACCAAAACAGTGGACCATGAACCATGCCTGTGTGTGCTATCTTTACTGTACACAAACAAAATATTCTTCTTTCTATAAATAGACATTTTGTTATATTAAGCCACTTTCTAAAATAAATATAAAAATGTCAGAGGTTATCTTTGTGCGCTGTGGGGAATTGCACCATGTGGGATGCTGTGCAAGAAGGAAGCCATGAGGGAGGAACATGTGACAATAAACAGAAGATACCATCAGAAGGATGTTTGCTCTAGAAAACCCCATAGAGTGCAACTGAAACAGAAAGTTAGAGCTCAATGCAGGTGGAATTAAGGGGGAGAAGTAAGCTGGGACTTGAAGAGAATCAGGATATGGGAAGAGCATAGCTACTTTGCTCATTTTGGAATGTGAGTTGTGAAGGGAACCCAACAGTGACAGGTCTTGTGGTCTAGTAGCATGCAGGCAGTGAAGCAGACAGATAGTTTACAAGCAGTTCACTCTGAGCCCGAATGGGGAACCAGGCCAGAGTTAGCGGCTTCATAGATAGACTTACCTTATCCCTGCTGGACTGGAAACTGTAATTTACCCTCTGGCTACATGAATAGTGTATTGCGGTTACTAACAGACCAGCAACTCATGTCTTCTGTAAGTTACCATGTTAACACAGAGAGTAAGACACCTGAGTCTCAGTGGGCAAGTCCCTAATTTAGGATTTTTGGTGCCTTAAAAGAGGCTATTGATTCAACTCTGTCAATAAAGCCCCACCACTATTCTTACCAAATGAACATTGAATGAAAAAGGATTGGGGGGGGGGAGTTGGTCTCCAGTCACTAGTCTCTGGGGCTTCCATGTCAAGAACAAGTACAGCTACTCAAGAATTGCTCCTCTAATTTATTATGCGACACATCTCATATGGAATCATAAAACAAAGTATACTGTGATAGCCAGATTAAAGTTGAAATTAAATCAAATCAAATTGAAACTGAAACATGGCAAGGTCCAAGGAAGGAGGAGGAGGAGGAGGAGATTGGATTGATACCCCGCCCTTCACTCAGAGTGGCTTACAATCTCCTTCCCTTCTCTCCTCACAACAGACACCCTGTGAGGTAGGTGGGGCTGAGAGGGCTCAAGAGAACAGCTCTGTGAGAACTGTGGCTGACCCGAGGTCACCCAGCAGCTGCATGTGGAGAAGTGGGGAATCAAACCCGGCTCTCTCAGATCTGAGTCTGTGCACTTAACCACTATACCAAACTAGCTCTCTGATACAGTACTTTGGGGGAAACAGTCCCTTTACTACTTGAAGAGGGTCTAAGATATTAACACATCATAGCTAATTCGTAACTTGATGCCTGGTAAAAGATGCTAATACAAACTATTAGTGGTTTTAGATTTGCTCATTTGATTTCCCCAGGACTATTTTTGGGCAGGAACGCACAGGAACGGAGTTCTGGCTGGCTCCCGAGTTGGCCACGCCCAGCAGGAACTCATTAGCATAATAGGCCACACCCAACTGCAGAAACTCATTAGGATTGGCTACATTAGGGGTGTGTGGCCTAACATGCAAAGAAGTTCCTGCTACAAAAAAAGCTCTGGGTTTTGACAATTAACAAAGTAAACAGAATAAGAAGCAAAAGGTGGGTGTGGCTGGATGACCACACTTCTGGTAACATGGGGGTGTGGCCTAATATGCTATTGAGCTGTGCTGTCAGGGGTGTGATGTAATATGCTAATGAGTTTCTGCTGTTGGGTGTGGCCTATTATGCTAATGAGTTCCTGCTGGGCTTTTTTTTTTTACAAAAGAAGCCCTGGACTTTCCTCCCCTAGAGGATAAGTGTGCATCCAAACTGCAGGAGGCTGCCTACGTGTCCTAGAATTGAGTGAACTCTGAGGAAATCAATCTACATAAACAGGACAGGTCTAAGTTCACCAATCACCATGCTTTATCTATTAAAAAAGTCTCAGAAAATTCATTCTGTGAGGCAAACAGTTTATTCTGCATACAGGTAGATCCAAGGCAAGGGCTTTCGACAGATTTTCTCCAGTATTACTGGCTTAAATTCAAGTTCCTAACCAACTGTGCTTCAAAATTTAAGGTACTGCAATGTGGAACCCAAGTAAAGCCTTGCCACAAAAACAAATACAGAGGATTATCAGATGTGAACATACAAGAGGAAAGATGTTTTAAAGAATAACTCAAGGATTATAGAAATGCTTACGCTTTGCACTAAATGACTACCTAAATCCACCCAGATAAGGAGTTACTGGGTTTGTTAAATGAAATCATAAGTACACTTCTGATAACTACTTCACTCTTTTTAATACAGTGGGCTATGGAAAGTGGTGTGACTTAAATTCCCTAAGTCCCACAGGCCAGGCACTTTATGTCAAACATTTTTATTTAAGGAGGTCATACTAGAAACAACCTCATGAATTTCAGAGTAAGAACATTTAGGCATATCACAAAAAATATTTCTTAACTGTGAGATCTATGACAGCATGGAATGGTATCCCGAATGCTGTGATGGATTGGAGCAAACGGGACAAAATACTCTATGTGTGCCCATAGACAATGCTGCATTGGTAACATTTTGAGATGTGATTTCATAGGCTTTTATAAATTGTATACCAAGATTTTAAAAATCAAATTATAACAAAAAAGAGCTGTTGCTACTGATATAAGATCAAAAACTAACCCCCCCCCAAGGGAATTAAGTTGTACATTTCCTAATCAGTCATAAACTGAGCCTGCCCCCATTATCCATTCTTCTACAGCAAGGTCAACGAAGGGATGGGAATAAAGTCTCAGACACACATCTCTGAGTTTCAGCTTATGGGAATCTTTGCCAGATATGAGGCAGAGTGTTGTGACTTCTTAATAAATTTATTTTATTTTATTAGACGTCTGGAGACTGTCCTATGAGGAAAGGTTGAAGGAGCTGGGTATGTTTAGCCTGGAAAGGAGATGACTGAAAGGTGATATGATAACCCTCTTCAAGTACTGAAAGGGCTGTCGTATAGAGAATGGTACGGAATTGTTTTCTATTGCCCTAGAAGGTCAGACCAGAACCAATGTGTTGAAATTAAATCAGAAGAATTTTGGCTAAACATTAGGAAGAACTTCCTGACAGAGTGGTTCTTCAGTGGAACAGGCTTTCTCAGGAGGTGGTGGGCTCTCCTTCTTTGGAGGTTTTCAAACAGAGGCTAGATGGCCATCTGACAGCAATGCTGATTCTGTGAATGCAGGCAGATCATGAGAGAGAGGGCAGGAAGGGCTGCCTCAGTGCTTATTTCTCGTGGCCCTTTCTTACACGCACAGGGAAATGCTGATCGCCACTTTGGGGTCAGGAAGCACTTTTTCTCCAGGCCGGTTTGGTTGGAGCTCTTGGAGGGTTTTTGTCATCTTCTGGGCATGGAACAGTGGTAACTGGGAGGTATTTGTAAATGTCCTGCATTGTGCAGGGCGTTGGACTAGATGATCCTGGAGGTCCCTTCCAACGGTATGATTCTGTGATTCTATCCCATTCCATTCAAAATACAATAATCTAGCATATTACAATTTAAAATCCATGTTATTATAAATTATTATAAATTAAGCCTAAGACATCTTTACTACATCAGATGGTGCCCTAATATCTATCATAGGTGGGACAACTGGGGGCAGCCAGCACAGAGAAGGAGAGAGGGGGAGAGAAGGGAAGAGGGAGGCCCACATATCTCTAAAGCCATCACTGTCCTTAACCATATCTCTGGTGGAATATCTTGGTTTTACAGGCCCTGCGGAATTGAACCAAGTTCCACAGGGCCCAAGTTTCACTAGACAGAGAGTTCCACCAGGTTGGGGCCAGGGTTGAAAAGGCCCTGGCCCTGCTTAAGGACAGACGGACCATTTTGGGGCCAGGAATCACTAGTAAGTTGATACCGGAAGAGCATAAGGCTCTCTGAGGGGTATATAGGGAGAGGTGGTCCCACAGATACGATGGTCCCAGACCATTTTGGGCTTTGAAGGTAAGAACCAAAACCTTGAACTTGATTCGGTACTCGATCTGGAGAGTTGATAGAGCACAGTTGATAGAGCACAGGTTGTACGTGTGCTCTCAGAGGGGTCCCAGTGAAGACACCCGCTGTTGCATTCTGGACCAGCTGAGGCTTCCGGAGCAAGTTCAAGGGCAGCCCTGCACAGAGCAAATTACAGTAGTCTAATCTAGAGGTGACTGTTGCATGGATCACTGTGGCTGGGTCTACACAGGACAGGTAAGGGGTCACTTGCTGGGCTTGGCAAAGATGGAAAAACGCTGCCCTGGCTGTATTTGTAACCTGAGCCTCCAGTGAAAGGGAGGCATCTAGAATCACACCCAGACTCTTGGTGGAGGGAGTTGGTACTAGCTGTACTCCATCAAGAGTGGGAAGCTGAACTCCTCGACCCAGACCCGCCTGGCCTAGCCAGAGGACCTCCATCTTCGAAGGGTTCAGCTTCAGGTGGCTCTGCTTTAGCCATCCCACCACAGCCTCCAGCCACATCTTCTGGGATCCATCTGTCTGTCCATTATCAGATAAAGCTGGGTGTCATCTACCTATTGATGACCCCCAAGCTTGAATCTCCTGACTAACTGGGCAAGAGGGTGCATGTAGATATTAAATAACATTGGGGAGAGGATTGCCCCCTAAGGGACTCAGCACATCAATGGGTGCCATGATGAGACCTTCTTCCCTAGCGCCACCCTTGGTCCCCACCCTTGAAGAAAGGAGCACAGCCACTGAAGGACTGTTCTATGTAATCCAGTGGCAGTGAAGCAGTGGGTCAACAGGTCATGGTCAACCATGTCAAACGCTGCTGAAAGATCTAACAAGAACAGCACCACAGACCCACCTCAATCAAGTTGTCTATGGAGATCAT